AGATTTAAAAACTGTTCGAGAGGTAAAAGAGTATCAAAAGGTATTAAAATCTTATTCAAAAACTGCTCGAGAGATAAAATAGTGTCAGAAATTTGTCGAGAGTTAAAATACTGTTTAAAATTGTTGTGTTAGTGTTCTCTATAAACTTTTTTTGCTTTCTAATGACCATACTTCATAATTAGAAAAATCTGGTAATTTTATAGAATCTAGTACATTTTTATCAAATCTGGTACATTTTTTAGATAAATCTGGTACATTACAAAAATATATTTTGGCAACACTGATCTTAACCCACTATTTTTAATCAGATTTGTTAAAAATCAGTAGGCTTTGTCCCCTTACAGAGCTTGATTTTTGCTTAAAATTTTCAAGTTGATATCATTTCTCGTTTTTATATTATCATGCAGACACAAAACGTGACATCGGACAGACGGACGAAGTAAACCTATAATACTCTTCACAGAATAGAAAAAAAAGAGTAGAAAAAAAATGTATAAGGTAAAATAAACAGTTTAAAGAGGTCAACAATAATATTAAACTTCTTTTATCAAAGGATACTAAAAGTTTGAAATAGCAGCAAATAATTGAACATTTACAGAAATCTGTGAACTAAAATAGTGAGATACACATCGTAAAATGTTATCACACTTAATTCTCCATATGACCCTTTCTAAGTATATTTCACAGCACATTTCAAAGTATTCTTGCTCTCGCTACTGTCCTATCCTCATAGCATACTTTTGCATGTACATGTTTACTAAAAAATAATGTTTAAATAAATCATAGAATAATAGTAATTTTGTCAAATCGGCTTCATCTGTATTTTCAAATTATTGTTTAATTGTAGATAGTAGTATATTAATGTTTCGATATGTACTTATAGGATTGATTATCCAGAGCATGTAAATATGTGGGATGTGACTATTTAAGTGCCTAATCAAAATCAAAATTTATGTTTAATGCTTATATTGCTCTTATCGAGACATACTTTATTACCAACTGTAAACTAATTTACCAACAGCATTATTTTTATTTAATACCTGCATGATCCAAATTACCAATACATCTAATATTTTTGAAAATACTAAATTATACAAACAAGACAATAAAAAAATGTAATTAAAATAAAAGATTTCAGGGTAACACGATTGATAATTAACATATACAACAGATAAATAACATATATAAACTATTTAAGTGTACATACCATTTCTTAGGTAAAATTTCTCATCAAGTATATTAAATTAACTGGTTGGTCCATTTTTCCGATTCAGACTTTTAAAGTGAAAAACCATTTGCCTCTTCATCTTTATCAAACGTTTATTGTACATTTCCATTTCCATAAAGATGTCAAGTTAATACCTTATCAGAATAATCAAATTTTTTCTTTTTGCGGGTTTTGTGGAAAACTAATTTTTTGTTTGCTTCTTACTTCATAGTATTTTTACAGTTTGTTACAAAATAGACCATTTTGAAGTAGTCTCAGAATTAGAATTAGACACTGAAACAAAATATAAAACAAATTAGATTCGTAAAACTTTATTATAGTTAAATAAAACAACAACTTTAAAAATAATTTTATTTACCTTGCCTTAAAGAAGTTTTTCGGGAACAATCGTTGAATTGACACACAAACTTTCAATTTATTAATATCACAGTTCTTAATTAAATACATTTTTTTAAATTTGCACAAAAAATAATCATAATAGAGGAATGACGGAAGAAGGAATTACAGTTTGTTTGATTTGGTACAGTATTGCCAGAATATGTTTTTGTTGTGTAGCAGATTTGTCTATAAAATGTATCAGATTCCTTTAATGTATCAGATTTTTCGAATTCTATTTGCAATGACATCTAATTCATTGAAGGGGGGGAAAAGGGTGTTTATTGATAACGAACCCAAACAAGGAACACAATATATATATTTTACACGTGAACACTGATGCACGCAGAATGTACTACATCTAGTAAAATTGTGAATTGTACTAGACTCTAGACTCAGAAACCAGTCACTGTCATCAGGATTCTGCGCAGTAGATTATTGAGACCGCTAAATTATCTATGAGAGCATACATAAATCTATTACCGTTTACAAGTATCTTTTTCTCAGATCCTGGATTTCTAGTCAGTATTACCCAGAAATATTTGAAATTAGCTACTTTCTCAAAACTGTATCTTTTTGACGCATCTGTGCTCACTACAAACTTGTTGTCTTCACAGTTCTGCTTATTTGACCAATTCATGTAGGTATATTCTTTTATTCACAGTCCTACTTTTCGAGCTGATTTTTCTAGCTTTTGTACAGTTTTTCTCAATTCGATTTTTGTGTGCTATAACAAAGGATCTCCTTGGCGCAGTCCGTTTTCAAACTGAAAAATGTTTTATTCTTTTCCATTAATTTTTACAATATCTCTGCATAATTTAATGTTACTTGCACCATATTTACAATATTTTTACTAATTCGCAATTCTAACATTGCTTTATATATCTCCTTCCTCTGAATTCTATCATAAGTTGCTTAAAATCAATAAATAATACATTAGAATCATTTGAGGTTCATACATTTCTACTTTTACTTTTAAGGAAAACATACCTTCCCAACACCACATAGATATTATCCTACCATCTTCTTCATTTCATTACTAAGTTTGTTCTTAATGGTCATAGCTAGAATTGTATAGGTATACAACATTCAGAAGAGCTGTGCCTCTAGAGTTTTGACAGATCATAGCATCTCCTTTCTTTAACAGTGGAAATAGCATTACTTTTGACCATTCTTTATGCACTTTTCCCAGCATCCATGTATTTCTAATAATTTTATACATTTAATTATACAGGCGATCCACAATTTTTAAACAGCTCAACAGCTATACCTGGGTTCTGGTTTTCCTGCAAACTTGGAAGTATAACAGTAGTTTTCCACTCGTCTTCCCTCCCGTCATAAATCTCAATTCTTTTTGACAATTCTTCATAAAGCATCTCGTTAAAATACTGTTTCCACCTCTCCAGTTACTAAGCAAAAATTAATATTTTCCTTTATAGAACCTTATGAATCGCTGTGTATATAATCCCTATTAGTATTTGTATATTTACCATAACATAACAATAATTTCAAAACATGAGACTGACTTTAACAAGTGATCAAATTAATAATGTGAGGTGTACATTTTATTAAGTTTTTCTTATTAATATTTTAAAGGCAATTTAAAAAAATGATAATCGATTTAAAATCCATCCGAGATATATCTACAATGAACTCTCTACTATGGTTATTATATTCTTCGAAAATGACACGTGAAAATATTTAACTGACGGGCGGAAGTGACTTTTAACAACAGCTATGTAATGTTTATTTTGTTTGCTTTATTCTCAGAAATATCTGAAAGATATGTGTGGGAATACCGTAAGGATAGATATTTGGACGTAGGACAATTGCACCATTGGTTTCAAGTTTTTCAATAGTATTTTCCTTACCGACCACATACAGTAAAAATAAATTCGATAGCATCGATTTTCTTTTTTACAGATTGCATATTAAAAACTTTTTTTTTACCATATCAAATACTGCGTTTGAATATCCACATCGGAGGCATCTGAGATGTTGTGAATTTTTTATCACGTGAAAGAGGATTAGATTTGAATGTAGGTGTAATAAACAAACGTTCTAGACTTTATTGGTCACGTGATAAAATGACAATGACAAGTTAGAAGTTTATACTTTTAAAATTTTACTTTTGAGACTAGAAATCAACCCAAACAGAGCCAGTAATTCTGCTTTATTTGTATCTTGCAAATATCTTTGTTCTGTTTTATAAGAGGCTCTTCGCAGCTCTATTTCTTGATTAGTATGTTCTACTATTATAGATAAAATGTCAGAAAAAAATAACTGCCAAATTTGTTTTAGATTCAGATGTTGTCTAGCTTTACCTTTTGGTCCGGGTAAGTGGATTACAATATTTTTTCTTGATGTTTTTGAAAACTTTTACTGACAAGGATGTGCATACCACTTATATCCATTACGTCCATATATGTATAGTTGGATATTTCTTATTTTGAGAAGGTGATGGTGTATTTTCTTCTAATATGTTTTGATATTCAATATTTTCTAATATCTGAATTTCATCTTCTTCTTTATCATATTCCAAAACGCCATCTTCGTCTTCACTTTCGTTTTCACGTTTCATGTTTTCTTCATCTTCGCTTCCTTCTTCATAAAGAATTTTCCATTTAAAGGTCGTTTAGGGTCATCCATTTTATATTCCCTTCAAAGTATGTGGTATTTCAAACATACATTATGAATATATATAAAAAAAAATAAAATATGTACCTACCGGAACAAAAAACTTCATACACAAACCAAAACGTGGGGTCAAAAACGCAATAGTCATCAAATACTAGGTACGTGTCAAAGTAAACAGATCCCACATACAGATCCGAACACACACTAACCGAGACTCGCGTATCGGGGACAACACTAATCATTTGTAGTGCGCATGTCGTACGCGTTTTATTTGTACATCGGTCTCCTTTTGACAGAGTAGGTGAGCTGTGTTCAGGCCGTTGGTGTTTATGCTGGTCGGCGTAGCCAGGTATGGATTAAAATTTTTCTGGAGACGAGAAGTCGTTGCTTCGTCTTGTTGTCACGGCATTATTATTTGTTCATGTATGTGAAATTTGCTTCTAAGGTTTATAAAATACTACTGCTAGTCACGGCGTAAATGAAAACAAACAAGACGCATTCACACAAACACCTCCCACCACAGCAATTACAAATGATTAGTGTTGTCCCCGATACGCGAGTCTAACCGAGACAGGTTATCGTCAATACTTGAGGATAGCTGAACCCCCACCCGTCTGTCCAAAATACAAACTTGCGTACAGGCTTAAATGTAGGCGCAAAGGTCACGTTGTGGTTCTTGGGTTAATCATTTGTGTTACATTACTATTGTTCATAATATGCAGAGTATAATAACTTTAAAAAATAAATAATAAAGTCAAAGTCTACTTACACAATTTATATCTATTTATTTACTTTCCATATTTTAATGCTTACTAAATTATTATATAATATACTTAGGTACTATTTTTTAACGACTCCAAAAAACTATACGTCCATCATTTTAGTTCTGGATTCTCCTATTTTTCTTGGTCTAGGATTGTCAACCACAAAAATATGCCTTGATGTTAACATTCTTGAACGAAGACCGAATAAATCAAATCGGAATATACATGAAGAAATTAATAATAATACAGCTAATCCGAAGCTAATAATGGAAAAACTTGATACCATAGTAAATTAAAGATACAAATGTCAAAGAATGATGTCAAACATAGGGCATAGAATAACAACCTACCTTAGGTTATTATGTGCATAGAAGTTACTATTTGAGTACAAGCGGTGTAACCTGCTCCATATTGTTACCATCCTAATGTCATATGTGACATTTACTTATAACTTTTGTGGTACGTGTTTTATTTTTCGGTATTAATTGAATTCGTTTCATTTTTACGTAGTGCTAGTTGAAAGACCTTTAGGACATAATGGTATCTTGTGTTTTACGAGATTGTACACGCGTAGATAGTGTAGAAATCAAAAAATTATAGGGAATTACTATGAAGGTATGGGGATAACATACTGGGTCTTCAACGATACCAAAAACCCACGTGACCAAATCGTCATGACAGCGATTGGTGAAAATAAAAGTAAAAATCCCTAGATGTGAGCCAGTGGCGTAGGTATTTTATTACAAAATAGATCTTCTTCTTTTTTTATGGTCTGCAACTACGAGAACAAAATTCAGTTAGGTAACTGTTAGAATTACAACACAAAATCATATTATTAATTAGAGGTGTTTTACATTATTCTATTTTAATGTTAGAATTCGATATTTTAATTAGATTTAGTCAAATGCAATAATTTAATTTTTAAAATTATGTTATAATTAACATAACCTTAAAAACTGAGCTATTATATTATTATATCTAATTTGTATTTAACGAAAAGAATAATAAACTGAAATATGCATTAAGATATTTAGCTACAGCTGAAACTTTAAATACGATAGGCAGAAGGCAATGGCAGTATTTGACAATCATTTCAGTTTAAGAAACAAATTTAAAACTTACTGGAATTGTACCTGGGCAATGGGAAGTAATAAACAAATAATTTAAGTTTGTTCTATCATTTATTTGTTACATTATTTAAACCATTTACAAAATACATTATGTTATTCATACGTATACAAAAAAATATTAATATTATTAATGTAACAAGCAGATATTTGTTTTACCTTACAGCTCTTACTTCTCACTTTAAATTATAAAGGCATATCTATTAACAACTATTTTATTTAAGAGGATATTAAGTAGTAATCGGTGGTGCAAAAACGATACTAATTCACAGTACCTATCTGTTCAAAATATTTACCACCAGCTTTAATGCAAGCATCAATCATTTAATATAGGTGTTCCAGTTCATAAACGTCACACAAATGATTTTGAATTGAGCGATCTGTAATATTCCATAGGTAGGTTTAACAAAATTAAGGTAAAATGATTGTTGTATTACCGAAACTTTATAGGGGATACATTATCAGAAATGTTTTCAATACTTTATGACTAGTTCGTAGCGACAAACCTAAAAAAAATATGTTTTGAATTTCACTCGTCAGTCAGTCTTTGAAACCCCGTTCATACCTGTTTGAGGTGCTGTTTTTTTTACTAATTTATTGGGAATTTGCACCATGTTAATTTGCACATCTTCAACAGCTTTTGTTATTACTTTGGGCCTTTTAGAGCTTTTCCTTTTTTATAATTTTGAACAAATATTTGTTTATGACGACAAAAAAGAATCACATTCCATTTATTCACCTGGAAAACGTTCCTCAAATTTTGGAATACAATTATTACGAATATAAAATAATTTTGTTTCAGTGTAACATTACCTGAAATAAATGATATAGTCATTAACTTTTTCGAGTTACAGTAAATAAAAAACAACAAAAAAGAAAAGCTACCAATAATCTCTAAAAATAACTAATTGCTCTATTAATATTAAATGAAAAATGGAATAAAGGTGTTGTCTCTGAAAGGCGTTTATAAAATGTAAACAAATATAAATATTCCCAGTCCCCAAATGAACGCCAGTGACATTTCTGACAGAACTGACAGTTCAGAGTAGTTCCTTTTACGTCAAATCATGCCCTTTCGATAGGTTTTTGATGATTATCAGATCACGTGGGTTTCGGGTATTGCTGAAGACCTGATATAAGTTTGTGAACAGACTCGTACTGAAAAAATAATATAGTTATCTAAACATTATCATTTACAAATTTCCAAAGAATTCAGAAAACTGACTATCTAGAAACCGTTTTTACATAGAGATTATTGGTAGACGACCTAATATAGTTCTGTGTTCAAAATATTTCGAGGAAAAACATTTTGATCGATCTTTATTGTGTACAGTCTATTTGAAAAATAATGTTATCACAATAATTTACGTCTTTATAAAGTTAAATTACTCGTAACATATATTTTCTTATTTATATTTTGAAATAAGGGGATGGTTTTTTTTTTCTTATCAAGTACTAAATTGAACACTTAGGCCTACATTTTAAAACATTCACTTTGTTGCAAGACTACCTTGATACTATCCTCCTATTTTTATGTTGTTAATATGTTTTTGTTTTATTTAACTATACAAGGTGTTTGTTAAATATTATTGTATTTTTGTATATTTGCTTGATTTAGATAGAAAAATTTATCTTTGATTTCTAATTCTTCATCTCCGTAAATCCTACGAAACTGACTCCAGAAGAGTAGCCAATTCTGAACATCTCCTCCAAAATTCGTAAATTCAATTTTTGGAAGGAGTATTTTACTTTGACATGATGAATTGGATCGACTTCTACTAGCCTTAACTTAACTATTACTGTATTTAAATATTTTTCTACCATAAATTTTAGAGTACTAAATTGAATCATTTTCTAACATGAAATCGAAGAGCTTCTTGTCGAGTGCAGATATTGCTTTAATTTTTTGTTCAAGAATCTTCAGATACCCCTAAACTTAGGTAATATCGTGTTGTTCCAGCGAAAACTGATTCATCATGGCTTCATATGCCTTCTCGAAAGATGTCCTTTGTAGATGTAACGCCTTCATCAGCTTTTCGATACCATTAACACCGTGTCCTGCCACAGTCGCAATATTTAGCAATTTCTAATTATGACCTATAATTAGGAATTAGTATAATGCAGACCGATATTTAATGGTAAACATTTATAAAAGAATAGGATACTGACAAAATATCTTATTTATTTTTCTTAAAAACAAACATAGTACTACAATTTTCAGGAAAACAACAACAATATTTAACTGTGTTCCATAAAACATGTGCCATCACTCGTGGTGTGATTCCTTACACAAAAATGAGACAAATTGTTCTTATCAACATGGGTCCGCAAATGCTTTATCTCAAAAACATAAGTCGTTAAATTTTTTTTTAGGTTTTTTCTAAAAATTTCCGATGCGGCTCTAACGAATAGAATGAGATTTTAGTTGTACAATAACCCAAAAAAGCAAATTTTTAAGCAATTAAAAGATGAAAATAGGTTTTATATAGGCTCGTTACGAATGAACGCTTTAAAAATGTTTAACAAAAATTATGTATATCACTAACTTTTTCACTTTTTAGTACACAACTAGTTAGATATTTAAATTACTATTATAAAAATTTGATGTATCCAACACATGACTTTCCTGTCTAGTTATTACAGGCTTTTTCCGGTGTAAATGTTTAGAGGATGAACTAAAATATAACTACATTTTCCACATACATCTTACTCGAAACATTTTTTATGCGTATACTGAAAAACTAAAATTTTACACTTTTCCTCAAATTTTTCCATTACGGTCCATTTTAGAGAAATCACGTATAAAACAAAAATTATAGAGATCGATATTGCAAACAACTTTTACATATTTACTCAAAAATTAGAATTTTGCTCTTTTTTTTAAAATTTCTCGAATACAGACTGTTTTAAAAAAATTATGTACGTATATGTCAAAAATTATAGAAAATAACATTACAAACAACTTTTATTTAAATAATTTTCTTCTTCAAGCGTAAATAACAGATATATTCCGTGAAGTAGAAAAACAACCTTCTATAAAGTACCACCCAGATTTTTCCCAAAATTTAATCATTATACCGCAGGTTGGATTAAGGCCTAAATTTAAAATTTGATGTTTTTCCCTTCATCCGTTTTTGAGTTTTCTTCCAAATTCGAAATTTACACATTTTCTCAAATATCTCGAACATGGTTCATTTTAAATAAATTAAGAATAATACATAATGATATCATAGCAACTTTTATTTAATTTAATGTTCTTCTTTAAACGTAAATAATACATATATTCTATAAAATATAAAAACGACCCCCTATAAAGTACCTCCCGAGATGTTCCGACACTGCCCAAATTTTAATCAGTTCACCGCAGGCCGGAATAAAGCTTAAGTTTAAAATTTGGTGTTTTTCTCTTTATCAGTTTTTCAGTTTTCTTCAAAATTCAAAATTTATACTTTTTCTCAAATATCTCGAATACGGTCCATTTTAGAGAAATTATATATAAGACAAGAATTATAGAGAATGATATCACAAACAACTTTTATTAAAACAATTTTTAAAAAATTTGAATTTTTTATACTTTGTAAAATTTCTTGAATATGGACCATTTCAGGAAAATTTTGTGTAGAACAAAAATTATAGAGAATAATATTAGAAGTAACTTTTATTTGAAGAATAGATATATTCTATAAAATATTTAAAAAGATATATCATGTAAGTATTTATGGAATTTTATACATATCAAAATTACTAAGACCAGTGGCGGTTTGTCCGTAAGGGCACTTGGGCACGTGCCCTAGTATAATAAACAAAAATAAATAACTTATATATTTTATATTTTCCTCAATGCCTATTATTATTTTATCTAATATTCGGCGCAAACCGCGTTGGCACGACACTGGACGACCGGGCGTTGAGCAACATTCCGAGAATTCCGAAAGAAGATGGGCACAGGCCACAGTAAATGTGTGCCTCTGTTATTTTCGCTCTCATTATGATGCGAAAAACAAGGACAACGACAATATCGCTTAGCAAGAGATGAACACATGCGATGGATTATACGTCACAAGCAGGGCGCTGACCTAGACCAGATATGAATGTATGCAGAGGCATCTTTACCGGCTTTCTCATAAAGCTGAAGGTGCGCGTTTGTTGGACCATGATAATAATTTATTTATTTATTGAAATAGTTAAGAAATAAAACTACAAAGAAAAATAACTTTTTTTATAAAGCAATCAATAATATTTATAAATGGGACAAAAATTTTATTTTTCTTTTGGTTTTGTCTGACTTTTTCGAGGATTTCAAATCTCTGTTTGCATATTTCAGAGTTTATAAAAAATTCTGAGTCTTGTAAATAATTTAATGGTGTACATTTTCGCAAATTGTTGAAAGGATGGCCAAATTCTATTTTGCTCATCTCAAAAAGGTATGAGTTGGAAATTCCAGGCTTAATTGACAAACTATCAAATAGAGATATAAATATTTTTTCT